TATGCACTGAGTAGGGACTCTTTGACTGTGAAGGGCTTTCATGACTACTATCTCAGTGGAGTCAAAGACCTTCTTTAACTCGATGAAGGTGAGAGAGAGCGGTTTTTTGTACCCTCGCAATAGTTCCATGAGCCGTGTTACTGTGTGGATGTGGTCCATCGCACTAAATCCTTTTCGAAACCCTGCTTGCTCACATGGCTGTCCTTCGTCTGGTGTTCTGTCATTCCTGTTTAGGATGACTCGAGTGAAAAGAGTGTAGACCACAGACAGTAAGCAGATTGGGCGATAGTTTCCTATAGGTCACACTGTGTAGGTCACACTTCTTTAACAGTAACACGGTCATGCTGGTCTTCCCCTGAGTAGGGACCTTGCATTCAGACAGGTAACAGGTGAAGATCCGAGCCAGTGTGTTTACGAGGACTGGCGGAAGGTTCTTCAGGTGTTCTGATCTTATCCAGTCGGGACCTGGTGCTGTTCCGGTGAAGCCTAGAGAGGCCGGTGATACCTCGTATAAAATGATTTTTATCTATTCACAATCTCGTTCATTTGCTATGTACGTTGTTTACTATCCACGATTCTCAAATAAATATTAAGCCATCACCTCACAACTGATTTGCATGCGCATCTATAAGTTTTATAGTGATTTTCCGAAAGTTGCAAGTACCGGCGCTATCAACATGCTTTGTGGAAAGACTGTGAGGCTGCCAACAGTCAAGTCATTCCTTCTAGTTGACCATGGTGGCTTTTCTTGCCCACATTATCTTAGTCTCCATTCCCGCCATACAGTGCCTTTCATCATTTCACTACCTTTCAAGCACAATTTGGTCTCTTTATCACTGTTGTTGTATTAGTATTGTTGGTATAAACTTATAATGACTCGGTTTTGAGGTCTGTGTTGCGCACACAGTGAACGTCCTGTGTGGCTGCAAGAGAGAAGAAAATTCCCGAGTGAAGAAAACACATTCCGAGAAGTGGAACATAGTAGACGACGGACTGTTTGTTGTTGCCAACGGTTTTTCTGTGAAAGGTAGGTGCTTTTAGGATAGCTGAAGCAAGACGAGTGAGATCTTCTGGGGTGTTAAGTTTAGAATTGTAGTTGTCATTCACCCTTGCAGTCCAGTTTATAAACAGAAAGCTACATTGATGGCACTCCTTAACCTATTTATTGAATAACTTACTCCATAATTTGACAAGGTGATGATGAGTTTTTATTTTTTATTTCTACGAGAAATTGCTAAGCTAACCCGCCGTTGTTAACAAACATCAATCCGGCTGGGGTTTCGACGTTTTCGTCTTCTTCGGAGCCGATGGCCAACAGATGTTCACGTTCTCGAGGTGGCGTCTTCATCGTGCGTCGAGGTGCACTTTCCTGAGTTGGATCATCTCTCTCAAATGAGCCATACTCTCCCGGCGATGCTCTATTATATAGGGCGATTGTTGCCGATGTTGTTATCCGTTGATAATATTTTTCCGCGGGTAATCCGCCCGACAACAGTCGGTAATATGTCACCTAGCACAAAGGGAATAGCGAAACAATAATCTTAAAACTGACAGTTGCTTAAACTTGGTAGTACGTTAATTATTGTTTTCCTATTCGTCCTTGCTATCTGGCATATTATCGACTACTGCAGAGTGGACTCTCCGTTGAAAACAAATTATTATGAACGGATAACAATATCAACAACAACCGCCTATTTAAAAGAGCATCACTAGGTGATTATAGCGCAGAAAGATGCTGCACTGAAGAAGTTCCAGCTCGATGCGTGACGAACACACCACTCCGAGAACACGAAAACTGTGGACCATCGACTCGCATCATGGGCTCTGATGAAGACGAAACCGTTGACGTTAGCCAGGCAAAAATCTTTGTCAACCTCGTGTAATCTCAAAATTACAAACACATGTTTATTATTCTACTTTCGAGGTGAAATGAAGGTCGGTTTCAAGATCAATCTTTTAATGATAATCTCTTTCCAGAAAGGCAATAAATCCTGTAAAATCTGCTTGTCGATGATGAATCTGCCAAGAAATGCAGTGTCGCAGCTATCTGTAAGCGCTAACATTTGTATTAGTGCACTGGTATGCTTCTAGTGGCCCGTAAAAATAAAAGGACTATGCTAAAACTGCTGTCCTCACGAGTGTGTCGTGATATCATTAAGACTATCTTTGACTCTTTTATTCCAAGAGCATTTATCGCAGTAAGCCGATTTTCTCAAATTGGCGTTTTATAAAATTTTGAAAGTGCCATTGAAGTGGAGCAGTAGTGTAACGCTCCATGTGACCAAGGTAGTAGATAGACCGTGCCCTGGGTGAGCCAAATCTCCTCGTCCTTCTAAGGATAAAAATTGGTGAGAGACCTGTTTCAAATGCTTTTCTCGCTCGACGAGACCAAAGAATGCCCTAACAAGGTTAACTCTGAAGTCAACTTCGGATGAGGAGAACCGACTCGGCCAGCGTTCAAATACATTTATGAACGGCACTTTATACCCTGCCATAAAAATTATAGAAGGCAGAAAACAAGATGTAAACATTGTGAGTTCAACTACAGCCTCAGCTTAAGTGGGTTCAATGCCCATGTGGGCTCCCCAGATTTATCCTGTTGACGGGTGATTGCTAACGGCACTGATCGATAGAACTAACTGAGTGACAGGCGAAACAAAGGATCCGCATGGTGTGGTGGTGAACGCGTTACTTCCCGGAAAGGAAAATAGCGCGCTCGTCCCCCACCGCAAGCACCTGCGGTCCCGAGTTTTGCAAATATCTCAGCAATCTTGTGGTTGTATTTCGCTTAATACCCTGCTATAAAAATTATAAAAGGCCGAAATTAAAAACTAAGCATTCATGAAAGGTCCAAAACCCTCAAGCGGTAGTCGAACTCACTCTGATAAGGCATTTTCCTCACCTTTTCTTTTGCGCTGCAGTACCACACCGACCATTGTGTACCAGTGCTTATGGATTTCTTTTGTTGGGGATACGGAAAATGCATCAGCCTTGGATATTTGCGGTATAATAATTATTTGAAGAAAACCTTGCCTAGCTGGTGTATTACTTCTCAATTATCCAAGAAAGTACTATTCGTCTTGGTAGCGCGTTATTGTGAAGAAATGCTCTTTAAGTTAAAACTGTTAGTGTGCCGAAAAAACGAGCTCCAGGTAGTTGAAGTGTCAACACTGAATTTCTCACTAGCTTCACGAAGCTAAGCAGGTCTTCAATAAATTTGTCGTTTTCTTTCCCAGCAATGGCGCGGTTGTTAAACTGCATATGTTTATTTTCATGCAATAACGCACATACAACACAACCGTAGCTGGCGTTTCAGCAGAATCGCCTACTTCAGAGCGGCTTTATTCACCCGTCTTCCACCGAGAAAGAACAGCCGCTCAGAGTCGCATATGGTTGACGACGAAAACTCTTGGGAACTGTTACAAGATGTACCAGCAAAACACTTCCAACTTGTGTAGGTCTTCAATACTTTTTCTTTCAGTCCACGCTTTATAGTTTATGTATAAAATTGGTTTCTAGACCAGACGGAATATGCTAAACTTCAGATATGAAGTCATGTGCACGTGACTTAAAAAGGAAAAGATGTGCGCAAGAATCTTAAAGAGCTTACGAGACACACAAGCGAAGAGTGTGCGTCTATTGATAATTTTGAAGTCCAGCGCCATTTGATCTCGGTGGTAATGCAGTCAACTTGATGTGTAAATGACGCAGACGTCGAAACGTTAGCCGAATAAAGCTATGTTATCATCACTTCGTGTAAGCTCAATATTTAAAACACGTGTTGATTACTTAACTGCCCAGGTTAAATAAAGGTCTGTTTCAAAATTGTTGCTTTGCTGTTCGCTAAGTGCTAGCTGACATAATACCGACTGCTGCAGGGTGGATTTATCCGTTGAGAAACAAATTATTATCAACGGATAGTCATATCAACACCAAGCCCCTTGTATGAAAGCGCACTGCCGGGTGAGCGTACCTCTTTTGTGCGATGTTTCACCAAAGAAGACCTGTCTGGACGCGACTTCGATGACGGCACATCGAGAAAACAAACAACTGTAGGCCATCCACTCGGATCATTGGCTCAGATAAAGACGAAGACGCCGAAACGTTAGCCGAATAAAGCTATCTCTTCAAACTCGTGTAAGCTCAATAATTTAAACTCAAATCCACTGATAATTCTTCGTGTTCAATCTTATCCTTTCAATGTTTTGTGATGGTGCTCTTTTCATCGAGCCATTTCATTTTAAAGGAAGTGTAAAGATTTTCCGAGTAGGATCGTAAAGCTCCAACTGTGATTATTTACAGATATAAAACTGAATCCTACGCTAAAATTACTTCGAAAGAGTGATACTTTGTTTTGGTTTCGTTCTTCCACTCTACCCCCTGTCTAAGCACAAATGAAGCTTGGCGAAGAGGTAAGGTTTCACAGGATTTTATAGCGACCTTCTTAGGAAATTGTTGTTGTTTTCTTCTTGGTTATACAAAAAAAGGATTAATCGCATAGAGATCACATGAATGAGGAATGTGCATTTCTTAGCTCAAGAAAACAGCCTGAGATATTGTGCGAGATCATGCGTAGCTATAAGGAACCAATCCCAGAGAGTTAACTTCAACTCGAGCATCTAGGTGTTCATTTACATGGATCCACAGCGGTCTGTTTCGCAAATATATTTCTTCTCGACTGCTTTATAACTGTTTCTGTTAAGGTTATAGAAGTAATCAGATGAGTACAACGCGTACTCATGCGCCGAAGAAGGCAAAACCTTCGAAACCTTAGCGAGGTTAACAACCTCGTGCGTTCTTATCAAAAAAACAGTAACCTATTCATCGATTTCCGAGTTAACTAAAAATTAACCCTGTAAAGTACATGGCAGTTTCAATCGTGGCACTTATACAACATTTACGAAAGAGATGAACATCAAGTGCAATAAAAAAAGTACTTTGTGGATTTTATAGCTTTCATATGCATTTGTCCAATTTCTTCTGAGGCAGTTTTAAAATCTTTAGCCGTTTCTAGTATGGTTCGTCTGTGCAGCAGCTATACGACCGGACAACAACGAAAGGAAATCGCGAACTGTCCAGTCCTCGTCAAGCTTATTTAGTTCAACAAAACTATAACTCTTAGCGTGTGCTCGATGTTCCTCCCAGGGATCATCCTGTTTCTCAAATATCATCTCTTTAAACGAAAATACGCATGTTGCTGCCGCAGGATCACGTCTGCTTCTAGAATAGATAAAGCCGGCTTTGGCTAGTGCATTAGAAGAACATGGAGAAGTGCTCTTGTCAAAACACCACTTCTTAAACGTCTCCTTACGATGTGCATAGAAGAGGGCGTTGGACTCCTCACTGACGATTTCATCGAAGAGAACGGATTTTAAGGTCTTATTTCTCATCGACTCACAGAGGATAGAACTCTAAAACTTGGGTTTGGTAATAATCAGGTTAGAATTGCAAATTCGGAATAGCTTCACGATTTCTCAGCTTTTTTATGCGCGAGGTAACGTTAAATGGTGTTGGTTAAGCTGTGAACGCACGTCGCAGTGAAAGTTACGAACTTTACTTGTGGGGTGCTGTAATATATTCGATTCGGCTTGTGTGACGATCACATGCTTAGAAGAAGCAACTCCTATGAACCGAAATAATAGCCGCTAGAGGATTCTGTAACAGTCTTGTCCAAGCTGGTTCACAAGATGGATATGCAGAGCGGTAGGTTTAGTGGTTATATATACTGGCTATATATACATAATCACTAACTTTGTATAATTGCTCATGCTTGAGATGAAAGGTCGAAAGTTTCGCGAAGATGAGCAAAATGACACAGAAGGATGTGGCGACCGGACTGGCACAGTCTAGCAAGGCCTCGAAGATCTTCGCGAAGAACACAGCATCGTATGCACAACAACCGAGAGCACTCTTAAGGAGAGAGAGAGTATATGCGACTCTAAGCGGCTATTCTTCTTTCGTGGAAAACGTGAAAACGGTAGGCTTTTCGCGAAGTCGGTGATCGTGTAATTATTGTTCAGATTTCCGTCTTTCTGTTTGCGTTGTTGAAGAGTTTGACCTAGCAAATTACATAATTGTGCACCCTTCCAGGTTCCAAATAAGGCGATACTGCCGAAACATCAGCTACCGCTGTGTTGTATGTGTTATATTTGTGAGGAATTAAACTTGTGCTGAATAACAACCTCGCGATTGCTGTAAAAAAGAGAACAACAGATTTATAATCCAATGCCGACATTAATAGAAAGTCGACCTTGGGAACTCTTAAAGTTATTAGCGAGGATGACTCATCAATTCCACGGGAGAAGCACCTATATATATGTAACTCGAAAGACCGACTTTCTATAAACCTCGGCATAGATAGTTGATATATTTATTTATGTGATCTTATAAACTGATCTTTTTAAGCTGACGCGAGGATGGTACAGCCTCGCGTCAGCTTAAGAAGATCAGTTTATAAGATCACATAAATAAATATATATATATATGTATGTACATATATATATGAGCAAAAATATGTAAATATTAATTCTGTAGAATTTTGGATCACAACTCGCTGTATACGGACTCATTGCACACTATATGTTAAATCTTGAGGCATTTGAGATAACAATCTCCATAAATATCGAACGTCCCCTATGTCTTCAATCATCTTTCATGTACTTTCTGTAATTGCTTCATATTATTCAAATCGTTGCACAATCAGTCCCAGCACCTGACACGTTTTTTTTTTACCGCGAAGCTAGCCCTTAATGTACTTATAAGCTTATCACATGCTAATGCCAGCACGGTGACTGGGAATTACTCGCGACCGTAGCACAGTCATTTGCCTCAAGGCTATGCTTAGATATCGCCATCGCCTTTCCAAATCACCTTGTTATCATGCTTAATAATTTCATATTCTGCAGAGTCCTTTTCTCATTGTACTGTTGCTACAGCTTAGTCTCATAAGTCTACACATGCTTTCTCATGCACAGATCTCTTGATCTCAACTTCTGCACCAATGCTTATGCATTCTATGTCACAGTTGTTGAACACGTTAGGACAGGCACCTGCATTGCTTAAATACCGTCGTGTAATTATTATTATACAAGTGGAATTGTTGCATTTGAAGGCTTAGTTATCCACGTTTGACGGTTGATCAGCTCAGAGTTGCGCATTTCAAAAGAGAAAAATTAAATACTAAAGTCCCATTATGCCTGCTGACCTCTCAATTGTAACCTCCAAACTACTACTCTCAAGACTTACTAAGCATCTTGAAATGATACTAACACGGCATAAAAGAAAGTAGTCAGAAACGATCATGGCATCCACACATTAGGAAATAGCGCCAACCTTAGTAGGCGCCCTCGAAAAACTACCTTTAAAATTTGAACAATACGCGACAGATTTGCAGCAAAAATGATGGAGGTCTTCTTAACACTATCAAATGTTAAAAAAGACTTTAAAAATTTTTAAGTTATTAGAGAGCCATAGAAGAAACAACAGTCAGGGCATTTGAACCTTTTGTGATTCTCCACTTCCGCATTGATGGCTTGGAGGCAAAACCAGCGCGTTCAGTCGCATCATTGAACCACTCCGCAATGTACGAGGGAGGTAACGCATCCATCAACACTGCAGTTATGAAGAGTCTGGAGCAACTACAATCGCCGTCCTAACATTCGATGGTGACGTACAAAATTTTGCCAACTTTCTGGTGTTTTTGAACATGCAGTGATGCTGAGATATCTGCAAAACTTGGACTCCAGGCCACATCGAATCGCCATTACTTTTGCCGCTAGGGCTCACGTGTTACACACTGTACCACTGATAGCTTCGTCATGTCTTTCTCTCATCCAGTTTTCCACCTAACGGTGCCAACAGAAATCGCCCGTCAACGGGAATTATCTAAAGAGCTCAAATCGGTAATGAACCTAGTCAAGCTGAGACTGTGGTCGAAATCACAATGGTAAATTTTTTCACTGCGTATAATTATTTTTCACAACAGGGTGTAGTGTAAAATACAGGCACCATGATGGTGAGACATTTGCAAAACTTGGACTCCAGGCCGCATAGAATCGCAATTAGCCTTTCCAGGGGCTTTCGTACTACTCACGGCACCATTGAGGCCCTTGGTTTGCCCTTCACTCAGTCCCTCAGTATTTTCAACACAAATATACATTCGCAAAATCAAAATCGCACTACAAAAATTTGACCACCTGCTTAGTTCTCCAGAAGGAAAACTTTTAAAATCAATAAAGAAACTCCAACTCACTAAGCAAAACCGTGTGAAGGTTATCGATATTCTCTTACCTGCATGTATGGATATTTCGCTGAACTTCCCCAGTTCCTCAAATAACTGACCGAATCGTTCCTTCGATCGCCAATCCTACATGGAAAATGTGGGCTACCGAAAGAAATAGAAGCAAAAATGCACTAGCTTGTAAAAATATAAGAAAGTGTAAACAGCCAGTTTATGTGTCAAAACATATTGTCGAAATTTTCCACCGATACCCAACGTAAAGTGTTGAACAGAAAGGTCACCACATTTGAAAAACCCTTTAATGTGCACGAACTCCTTACAGTAGTTAAAACTTTCAGGAATTCATATCGCAGCAGACTAGCTCATCGACTCCTGTTAAACAGAACAGCTTTGAAAGGAAAGTCAAGCATTGGAAATAGCAGCCTCAACATTCTCCTATATGTACAGCAGAGGCGACCACAAGCCGTCCTACTGCAATATGTACAAAACACGCCATTAAAGCAACGAGTACTTTGAGACTAGTAGGTTATGCCATATAAGACATCCTAATGCGCCAATACACTTCACTGCAACAGATCTTCATATCACAGATGCCTGAAACAACTTCATACATCTTGCTGTTTCTGCCCAACATCAAAGAAAAAAACGTTCCTAACACTTCCAAAGTTGGAAAACCTCAAAAAGACGTGAAGGAAAGAAAAAACAAAAAAGGAACATAAGAGGTTCACTTCTACTTTAAAAATGAATAAAATCGGAAAATGGTAGCGCGCCCAAGAAGAAATGTCGACGATATCGAACGGAGGGCCTGCAGTCAGCTTTCCCACTTGCACTTGAGAAAACTACACAAAAAAACAGTTGCACGAATTTTATTTGTTTAACCGTACACCGAAGGCGAATTATCGTCTATTGACGATGAGTTCGCACAAGAACTTCCTCCTCCCACAATGGAAGAAAAGAATATATGTTCGAACACAAACCTTTCTAATAATGTAAGGAATAAAAGATAAAACTGTAGCCTGATAATGTAAACACAATGAGAAGAACATATGTTTCCTTTCGAAATATAGGAAGCGGAGGTCATTGTAGTTTTTTAATCCTACTTAAATGCAACGTTATTATTAGGCCTTCTACCACCAATCTCCCTGGGAGACATAGAATTGCTTCGAAAGAACTACATCCAAATCGATGTTAGCAACAATAAATATACTGCTCAACTTTCCTTCCTACTAGGTTGGGACCAACTGTAAACCCTGATAAGAAGGGATAACCAATCGTTGAAATCCCTTTCGGGCTGCATCTTCCTCTGAAACGTTTAGGAGATATATGCACGAGAAAACGCAAAAATTAATAGAATTACAAAGAAAAGAACACGACAATGTGTTGTTACAAATGCTGTAGGAGCTAGAAGACGAAGAGTGGAGAATATAAAAAGATGACGACGAAGAGAAAAATTGGGATTACTGCCGATGCGCAATATTAAGAGCGAGATGATGACGAGGCAGTCAAATGTGGAAATTGCTGGACCCTAGAATCCGCCCTAACAGAGAAATTTTTGAGCCCTAGAGCAAGTAGACGGGTAGATCGACAAGTTTGTAAAAACCTCAACAGAACCATTGTAAGACGACTAGATATGTATATCTCCTTCAACTAACTTGTAATAAAATACCTAAACAACTCGAAGGACCGACTTTCTATAAACCTCGACACAGATGATATAATGTTTAACGTTTTGTTTTCTGCCTTCTATAATTTTCATGGCAGGTTACTAAGCGAAATACAACCACAACGTTGC